ATTCCAGTCCAGGAAAACCCATCAGGAGAAAGAGAAGCCCAGGGAGGGCAGTATTATTAGGATGGTGAAGAATGGTGTGATTACTCATCGTTGATGGAGGGTCTAGCAGCTCCATTCTCTAGAAAAGGATGCAAGAAACGAGAAGTGAAGCAATTGTGCATTTGAATGATTATTCTTAAAGTCATCACACAAGTTATCACTTTTGCTTTTACATGGAGAATTTTAACCACAAAAGTACAGTGTCTGTGAACAATATATGTCTTGCAAAAGCAGTAACACACGGCCAATGCAGCAGCATCGCCACCACCTCCTGCTCAAATCACATTTCTAAGGTTTCTCAGGAGCCAGTGAGCTGCGCTCTGTCTCAGCTGGGCAATGTTGGTTGCAACAAACGACAATTTAATGTCAACGGGTGGCTGAGTTTGAGGTGCCTCATCAAGACCACCCAATGCAAAGCTGGCAAAAGGAATGAAACTAAGACTGCAAATAAGAACATGAGAAGAGCCGGCAGGATCAGGCCAGTGGCCGACCAGATGTCTCAGTGGGAAACGCACAAGCAGGACTCAGGCACAAGAGCAACTCCCGCCCAGCAGGTGGGATTCAGAAGCGTTTACTACCTCCAATTGTGGATTATGCAAATCTCTTTTTTCATTCCAAAATTCTTATTGTTATTTTTTATTTGATTTATTAGTCACTCACTATAAAAAAAAAATCATCTAAGTGACTAGGTCAATACATTGCATGCTCAAGAGGATGAAGTGCATGAGAAAATTAAGCACTTAATGACAGGTAATATAATTATTAATACTTACATAACTAAACTCACATTTGCTGTCCTGTTTGGGGGTTTTTTGTTTCTACCTTATGTAAATTGATCATGAAGATGATGTGGACATTCATTCTAAATTATTTTGCACTGAAATAAATTTTGATCTTCACTAAACAGAGATGGTATTATAGCATTCAGGATCTGATTTCGTACTTTCTTTAATAGTTGACCATAATCAATAGTTGATTGATTTATGTCATTGGTAACTAACATATGGAATGTATAGCCAGTGTAATAACTGCACATTGGATTGAAGCATCAGTTGGGTTGTGACTCTCCCATGCAGTTGATGGAAGTAAGAAGATTTGGAACATCATCCCTGTGCAGTTATTGGGGAGCAAGTCCCATTATACTCCATGGGACTGACTTTTTGGAGTGATGGTGTATTTGATGATATCTCTCCTTTCAATACTAATCCCAAAGGTTTATGCTCTCTCAATTTGTCATTTCTTTCTTTCTTCTCAAGCCCCCCTTTTATGTTTTACTTGTAATGCCACTTACTTATACTTTGCTGCACTAAATGGGTGTTGCTAAATTGCAAAATCTTAAAATAGTAATAATAAATCAGGTGGTTTCAATGTGTCTGCAGTCCAAAAAGCTCTTCTTGGAAATGCACGTCTTCTCCCTAGGATCCCTGATCATCACCATTATCTGCAAGCACCTAAGAGTGAGACTAAAATGCAAATGTTTCTCAAATGCCCCTGGCTGTGGATTCTTGTGGCCACAACTGTTGTCGTTTGCCTAGCCAAAACTAACCACACCATTTTCTTAACAGATCACTATCCAACCTTCTCTTAGCCAGAATAACTCCTGCTGCCTAATGCAGAACAAAGCAATAACAGAAGAGAGAGTAAACCCTGTCTAAAAATCAATACAAATTGTTGAGCGCCTGGTTGAGCGCACTTTTTATTGTTGTTGCACAAATTCAAAAAGTGCCAAGTTCAAGCTGGGTGATTTATCTATTTAGAGATTCTTCTTTTACAGCTGCAGATTCAATCCGAACTGGGCCAGCAAGAAAGAACCTATGCAGCCACGCCTTGGACAGTGGCAGACTTTGGCCTCTCAGATTTCATTGGCAACCTGTGCAACACTAAAAAATTTCCCCGCTGCCCCTGCCTTTTGCACTCCATCCTACAGCATTGTAGTGGCACCCTCTGCAGCAATGACCAGTACAGCCACAATGGTCACGCGAACCTAAGACAACCTCTGCCTTGGGTTCTTTTTGAAGAAGAGAAGCATCAGGAGCATGTGATGTAGACTGGGCTCTGTATTCCATCTTTTGCTTTGCATTTGAATCACCTGACAAGCATTATACAGAAGGGAAGGGAAGCATTGATTCAAAACTCTAAATAACTTCCCTTTGTCTTACACTGCACCTGCCTTGCACTTCACTTTGGCTGCTTCGCAGTTTGCAGTTCCTTTTAATTTCATGCCCTACAGTGGGAAGAAGGAACTCTTCTGCCTTCTGTTCCCTGGAATAATTCCAGTGCCTCATTCCAGGAAAAAAGAGGGGGGGGGAGCTTTTTAACTAACAGCTCACTCTTGTGTTTTGTGCCCTCCCCATTGCTATTTATTCAGGGAACATTCACCCAGCGGAACGCTCAGCTGCATGACTGTGCCATGCCATGCCACACTCTCTCTTCTTGGGCAATGGCTGTTTGCTGCCATTTGCTCCTGCTGCTGTGCTGCGCTTCCCCAGAATCCTAGAATTGTAGAGTTGGAAGGGACTCCAAGGGTCATCTAATATCGCATCTGTATCGCATCTAACCCCATGCGATACAGGAATCTTTCCCTTCCAACATGGGGCTCAAACCCACAACCCTGAGAGTCTCATGCTCTACCGACTGAGCTATCCCAGGGATAGATATGATGGTTATCATAACACCTCTCAGTCTCTTTTCCAGGCCAAACAAACCCAGCTTCCTCAAATGAAGGCTCTTACATTCTTTAAGGGAGGTTGCCAGCAATCCGGCTGTGCAGGAAGAGATTTGCCAATGCAGCTCTGCCTGCTCCCACTCCATAACAAGTGATGGTGAATGCAAAAGGCTTCCCAGATGTAAAATAAATATATTTTATTGAACAAATAATACACTCCAGAGCTGTGCTGTAGCTGCATGTGCCAGGCTGTGGGCTGGGTGGCAGGGAAGGAATTTGCATCTGCTTTCCCCACCCTGGAGCCCCAACGGAGCCGTAGTCCAAAACACCAAGCCGGCAGGAGTGGGCAGGCTGGGGAAGGTTGTTATGTACAAACCCAAATGGCGCCAAGGAAAAGCAGCTGGTGCCACTTGTTCCTTCCCAGGGCAAGGCATGTAGAATCATAGAACGGATTCGTTTCTTATTTAGGCATTGCATAAAATTTAAGCACTACCGAACTGGGACCAATGAAACTATAACCTGATCAATAAAACTAACAATAACCCAAAAACAGAATAAAGCACACATCAACATTCTACATTTCTGGACAGGCTTGTCTAAAGAAGAATGTTTTCGGTAGGCACCAAAAAGAGTACATTGAAGTCACCTACCTCTGACAAGGCCTTCCACCTGTCAGCAATTCTGTGCTAACTGCAGCTTCCAGATACTTAGAAATAGAGGTAGAGAAGGGAAGCTGCTTGATTGCTCTGAACCTCTCCGTTCATCCTGCTGCTATTTTGCTGGGCAAGATTAAGACCAGCAGCACCCGAAGCATCCTCACCAGGAAATAAGTTCCCCTGAACTCCTGGGGAACTTCTCCATCCTAAGGGAGCATGTTCAGAATGGGGCAAGACACCTCCTCATCAGGGATCCTTTTCCCTGAAAAGCAAGCCAGCCTCTGTGTTTTCAGGTCAGATTATCAGAGAGAAACACAAGGACAGTCTCACATTAGCCTATGAAACAGCTGCGGGAGCTTGCAGTAAAAGACGCACGGAAGCAGAATAACTAACCGGATTAATTCTGCGAGGTGCTGAGGGTTCCAGGGAACTTGCAGGTCACTTGCATCTGCAGTGCAGACACCAGGGCCTGGAGTTGCCCTCAGGACTTCGAAGCCAGGGCCCCAAATCCTCCTCATTGTTTTCGGGTGGCACATTTTTGAAGATTACTGCTCCCTCGTGCAGGCAGGAGAAACACAACCCTAATCTCAATGGCTCCCTTTGAGCAAAGTCCCTGTCACTCCAATTATATCAGACGCTCCTTTGTGCTAATCAGTTGGGTCCACCCACCTGGCACCTTCCTTCTGGTGCTTCCAGCCCTCCTATGAATGAAGGTGGCAAACACTGCCAGATCAGAACATAAGAAGCACCACCAGAGTCCTGGGAAATGTGGGGGGAGGCTTCATTCCTTTTATGGCCCCTAGAGTTTCAGAGCTTGATCACCCATTGCTAATCATGATGCAAACTGACAACAAAGGAGCGAAACCTGCTTCCCTGAATTCTGAGCAAGTAAAGAACATTCAGAGTATGGCAGTCTTACAAAATGCATTCATCTGGGGTCAGGGAACATGGATCTGTTCATTCCAGGTGATGCCCACAATAAAAATCCTGCAAAACTTTTGATTCTGTAATGCAAAGCTCAAGCAAAACATCTCCAGCAGAATATTGTTATGAGTTTGTGGGGGGCTAGATTCCCCTAAATTCCTGGGTGCCAGGTCCTCCCCATGATTCCTGGATTTAGTAGTAGTAGTAGTAACTTTATTTATACCCCACCAATCAAGGGTTGTTGTTTAGTAGTGTCTGACTCTTCGTGACCCCATGGACCAGAGCACGCCAGGCACTTCTGTCTTCCACTGCCTCCCACAGTTTGGTCAGACTCATGTTTGTAGCTTCGAGAACACTGTCCAACCATCTCGTCCTCTGTTGTCCCCTTCTCTTTGTGCCCTCCATCTTTCCCAACATCAGGGTCTTTTCCAGGAGTCTTCTCTTCTCATGAGGTGGCCAAAGTATTGGAGCCTCAGCTTCAGGATCTGTCCTTCCAGTGAGCACTCAGGGCTGATTTCCTTCAGAATGGATCAGTTTGATCTTCTTACAGTCCATGGGACTCTCAAGAGTCTCCTCCAGCACCATAATTCAAAAGCATCAATTCTTCAGCGATCAGCCTTCCTTATGGTCCAGTTCTCACTTCCATACATCACTACTGGGAAAACCATGGCTCTGCTTTTTAAGATGCTGTCTAGGTTTGCCATTGCTTTTCTCCCAAGAAGTAGGTGTCTTTTGATTTTGTGACTGCTGTTGATTAAACTTTGCCAAACACAGAAACCCCCTGAATTTAGTTATACTAACAAGGCAAACCAGCTCTGTGGAGCTAGCTGGATGGGCCATTAGCAGGGAACAAAGGCCAGTGATGGCCCATCAAGAAAACCATTGGAGGGCAAGACTGCCTGGCAAGGGGGAGTGGGACTCCTTCTCTGCTGGGTGCCAGTGGGCAGAGGCAAAGTCTAGGTTTGGGGTTTCACCTTTGGATGATGTAGCCTGGGGGAGGTCTTTGGAGTCAGTTAGTAGTGAGGTAGCTCAGTAGAGAAGGAGAAGGAGGGGCAGCACTTCAAGTGAGCTGGAAATGACAAGCTGAAACCAAAAGACACAGAGGGTGGCTTTTTGCTGTCCTTTGAATCCAATGCTGCCCTTATGGGGGAAACCAGACCTTCATAGGATGGCTCTGCAATCTCTCCATCTAGGTGCAGGTTGCATGTATGTGTAAATAAAACCATGTATCATAAAGACACCACATTCTCCACTGTGCCTCATTGTCCCAAAAGGGAACACAGACCCTAATAGGTGGGCATGCAACGTCTGGAATCTCACTCTTGTGGAGATGGGGCGGTGTGTAACAATATTATGAATTTGAGAGTGTCCCCCTCCACTCCCAGCCAGGGCTTCCCTCTGAATCTTCTCCACCCCCTCAAACTTACCGTATTTTTTGCACCATAACACTCACTTTTTTCCTCCTAGAAAGTAAGGGGAAATGTCTGTACGTGTTATGGAGGGAATGCCTACGGGTGGCATGCCTACGGATTTTCCTCCTCTAAAAACTACGTGCGTGTTATGGTCGGGTGCGTGTTATAGAGCGAAAAATACGGTACCTTTTCCATTCACTGTCTGAGACAGTCTCTGACTACTACCCTAGTGCAATGTCCCCACAGACAGGAAAGATTAAGAAGAGGGAGGCTTTGTAGACGGGAAAGGCACCTGTAGCTTAGTGATAGAGCACCCGATTTGCATGCAGAAGGTTCAATCCCTGATGGCTGGTTGGAATGTCCCTTGCCTGAAACGCAGGAGTTTGGCTGCCAGCCACTGTAGAAAACATTGAACTCGATGGTCTGAGTCAGTAGAAGGCTTCTTCCCGTGTTCCATTTCTCCTTTTGCTGTGGTTCCTTTGTAGGTGAACAGCTTCTTCTCCCAGTCTAGCCATATACATTTCACTGTTTAGAAACAACGGCAGGAGGAGCAGCTGCAACCTGAGATCCCAGGGCGTTGCATCTACCCAAGATGCCTTATATGTGGTGAGACATGGGAGCCTTCAGTTCTGGGCTCAACCCATCCTAGGCAGCTGCCCATCCCCTCCCTCACCTGTGGTTAAATTTACAAGGGAACCTCCATTGCTTATAGAAGCCCTTCTCTCCTCCCCCAATTTTTTTTATTGGTTTTCATAATTTACAACAAACACACATAAAAGAAAAAACATTACAATATTAAAAAGAAAACAAACAAACAAACATATAAACACCTAACTGTTTGAAGCCCGATTTAATTTTCATTGTTAAGCAACTTCCTCGAATCTCCCCTGACTGAGTTTCCATAAATCTCATTGTAGCAGTTTTCCAATATCCACTTTCCAATAAAACATAGAAGCCCTTCTCACTTGTGCCTTGCTACAGACTCCTGTTGGGGGCTGGGGAGGAGAGAATGGCATGGCGGTGGGAGAAGAAGCCCCTTTTGTTCATCCAGACTAGGCAGAGCCAGCCTCTTTGTTTCTTGCCATCTGTCACTTCCAGTGACATCCAGTAGCCCGGCTGGGAGATTAGGAGGGCTCCAGCCTGACACCAAGAAAACATTAACCATTTGGAGCTCGGCTGCCTTGCAATTGATAGGGGTCCAAGTTCCTTTGTGACTCATCTGGTCCACAAACAACCTGACCTAGAGCATCCACCCAACAGTGGGTGGGAGAACGCTCAAATGTTGCAGATTCATTGACGGATGGGACCACAAACAGGTTGCAGAATCACAGAGTTGGAAGGGACCTCAAAGGGCATCTAGTCCAATCCCCTGCAATTCAGGAATATCAACTAAAGGTCACATGGACTAAGGGTGGAACCATTGATGAGAAACACCATAGACCCGTAAGGACCCTCAAGGCGGTGCTGGACTACAACTCCCATCATCTGTGACCATTGGCCATGCTGGTTATTGGGGCTGCTGCACTCAGGTCCAGCTTGCAAGCTTTCCCTAGGCATCTGGATGTGGGGTTAGATGGGCTTTGGCCTGATCCAACAGCACATCATCTTCTTATGTTAAATTCTTACACTATTGGGACTTGAGTTCAGCAACATTTGGAGAGCATCCATGTCACAGACAGCAGATTTTTTAAAAGAGTTAAGTAGAATAAGATTCAATCAGGAACTTTAAGAGAATGCCTTTACTTTATTAGGAAAAACTAAGTTTCACTATAGTGTGTGTGGGTTTTGATTTATACAAAGCTCTTTGTCTTACTGGCTGCTAAGAGACAGAGAGAAAATGTGGGAAACCTAGTGGCAAGTCTCATTCTAAGACTGAGAATGGAAAAAATAATTGCAGACAAATTAAGCTGAACTCTGCCTTGCGAAGAAAATCACAAGCTGCAGAGCGGTGTCCCGAGAAACAGTGGAGGTTCTCTCTTTGGAAATACTTTTTTAAAAAATCCAGTTGGTATCAAACCTCAGTTATTGATCCGAATGCCCACCAGAATGTTCTTCAGGTCCAAATGGCTCTGCTGTTCATTCCTCAAGGCCACTCCTTGGAATGACGCCAGCCACAAGCTAGACTTGCACCTGGGGATTCTCTTTAAGGAATTCCCCAGATCCAATAAAACCTCACTACTTCAAAAGCTGCCTAGAACAAGGCTCGCATGACGGCAGTGACAGACTGCTACAGAACAATAGGAAGGAGATTCACACATTGCCAGAGCCCCAGAGTGATCGGAAGGATAGCTGGAATATTCCTTACAGGACTGAGAGACTCTGTACCATACATGGCAAATTTCCCAACATGCCTGTGGGCTCTCTCGTTTTGAAGGCTGACTACTCTTCTGCTTGTAAAGGTTAGCAAAGTGCACAGTGGTGACGTCTGGATAAACTTTTCTACTTACATCCCACAAGGCAGTTAAGGAGGGAGTGGGGTAGGGGGAATACCAGAGTTTGTTAAGCCAGACACCTGCTGGAAGATTCAGGACAGATAAAAGAAGGGACTTTTTTCATGCAGCACAGAGCCAAACTATGGAACTCGCTCCCACAGGAGGGAGCCACCAACTTGGATGGCTTTAAAGGAGGATTAGATAAAACCATGGAGGAGGAGAGGGCTATTGATGGCTACTAGCCAGGATGGCTCTGCTCTGCCTCAAAGTCGGAGGTAGCAGTGCTTCCAAATAGCAGTTGCTGGAAACCTCAAGAGGGTGGAGAGGTCTTGTGTTCAAATTCTGCTTGGGAGTTTCCCACTAGGGCATCTGGTTGGCAGCTGTGAGAACAGGATGCTGGACTAGATGGACCACTGGCCTGATCCAGCAAGCTCTCCTTATGTTCTTTGGCTCACTGTTACATTAGATGTGAGTGACATGGGAAATCCATCCCTTGCAGGTTTTAAAACTGTTATTAGCAGTTGGAAAAGGCCTGATTCAGATCAGGACTGCGATGCTGGGGGAAATCTAGCACCAGATGGGTCCTGAAGAGTCAAGATTATGACAATCAATGAATTTCAAGATGTTTTTTGCTCATGCATCCTTGCTCACTATGGGGGCAAGGATGCTGGGCTGCATCATCCTTTGGTCTGATTCAGTAGGGCTCTTCTCTTTCTAGAATCAATGAATAATTGAAACAGAGAACTGTAGAGTTGGGAGTAACCCCAAGGTCATCTAGTTCAACTCCCTGCAAGGCAGGAATGACAGCTAAAGAATCCATGGCAAGTGGCCATCCAACCTCTGCTTAAAAGCCTCCAAGGGAGGAGAGTCCATAACCTTCTGGGGGAGTCCATTCCACGGTTGAACAGCTCTTACTATGAGAAAGTTCTTCCTAATTTTTAGTTGGAATCTTCTTTCTTGTCATTTGACTCCATTGATTCAGATCCTACTTACTGAAGCAGCAGAAAACAAGCTTGCTCCATTTTCCATATGGCAGCCTTTGAGATATTTAAGATGGCTACACCACAGAATCATAGAATTGTAGAGTTGTAAGGGATGACTAGGGTTATCTAGTCCAACCCCCTGCAATACAGGAATGTGCAGGTGGCCCATAAGGGGATTAAACCCACAGCTTTGGCATTATCAGCACAACACTCTAAACAACTGACCTAACTCAGTTCTCAGCGTCCTTAATGCCAGTATGTTCTTCATGGATTGATGGTCTGCTGCTAGATTATGTACTGCAATGGATTTGTAATTGCTGCTTTTTTTCTAACATAAAATAAAATCTCCAGTCTGTAACTAGATCCCTTCCTGATCCCAGATAATGCCCACTCTGAGCAACAGCAGTGACTTCAGTCCACCAACCTTCATGCTGATGGGATTCCCTGGGCTGGAGATGTATCACCACTGGATCTCCGTCCCATTCTGCACTATCTACCTCATGGCCCTTTTAGGCAACAGCACCATCCTCTTTGTCATCAAGACCAACCCAAGCCTTCACCAGCCCACGTGTGATGGCCTGGGATTCCGATTCGGAGGATGAAACAGAGGAATCCCGGCCTGCACAGGAGTCCCCGCCTCCAGGGCCGGCTGAACTGGGGCAAGGCCTTGATGCTGAAGAGCCTGCACCTGTGGCAGTGCATCAGGAGCTGGCCCCAGGTGAAGCCCTTCGGGCCCCAGAGGGGCTTGATGACTCAGTGGCCACAGGTGAGCCTCCTCCAGGGCCCAGTAACCCTTCGCCTCTCCGATCTGCAGAGGCTTAGGGCAGAGAGGCGAAGGGAACTGGTTGCCCCCAGGAGGAGTGCTCGCCTTAAGGCCAGAGGAGGCGGG